TGGATTAAGTTTGTACTCGCACGTGATAGGACGGGGCCTGCCTGGTAAAAATCAACAGTGATAACAATGGGTTGACAGGCCTACACAACTCCTATCCACTCCATAAGCTTTAATTTGATATACGGGTTTAGGTATCTACAGCTTAAACTACACGCGCTACATCGCTTGCGCGCGAGACACCCCTGAAGGTATACTGTAACCTTAAGGCAACCCCGCTGCTCCTTCAAAATTAAAATAATAATTTAAGAAAATGAATTCTGGTAGTTGTAGTCAAATATATACATCGTGCAAGTCTGCTACTACAATAAACGGCACGCAATGCATGCAGAAGCGATGACGTTTAAAAAATGTTCCTAGAAGATTGGAACATAAGCAGACAAACTGATTCTTAAATTTTTAGGGGTTTACATTAAGAGTAGACCATTGGTGGCTCATTCAAGTAGTTCATGTACCAGGTCCATCTTGTTAGTCCATGTGCCAGGGGTCTGCGAAATGTACCAACCCAAAAGAAAGATTTTAAATAACTAAAATAAAAAGCACTCCGCTGATAAGTTCCTCTCTCTGAAATCAACACCTTATTATCTTTAAAGATATTTGCAAAGCTAATTACCTCACCGGAAATTAATTTGTTGCTTTAACCATTTACTTGTCCAAGAGAAAATCATTTTCTCTTGACTTGTCATACCGCGTGTACGACCCGCTTGTCTATCTAAAATTGTATGTATCGAAGATATGTTATTATGAGTTTGCCCGTGAGCGCAAATTTATCTGACACTGGATAGACCAAAATCCACCCCCAAATCTTCGTTTAAAAGCTGAAATTAAAAGCACTCCGCTGATCCTACAAACAGCAAAGGCAAGCTGCAAAGTACAAGTTTCTCCCTCTGAAATCGACACCTTATTAACCGCTAATTACCTCACCTAAAATTAATTTGTTGTTTAAACCGTATATTTGTCATGAATGAACATTCGTATTGTCTTTACCCTGACAAAACGATTATCGATTGTTTAATCACAACCACTCTTTCGTTGACAGAAAATATAAAACGGCACATTTCC